AAAAAAAAAATGACCATATCTCCATGAACGAAATTTTGTGCAGTTATTGCATATGATAACTTAAGTGAGTTATTCTCAGATGTTACAAGTTTATTCCTATATATTTTGGCATACGCTGTTAAAAAACACTCTTTTACTATCGTATTTTATTGCTGTTCCCTCAAAACTCTTAATAGCTTCAAACTTTTTTGATATGTATGAGAAATCGCATGACCTAAACACTTCTGAAGTTATGAAATAATTCTCTGAGTATTTCTTGCGAAATATGAAAAAAATGAGATAGTATAAAAATGCTTCTATAATCCCCTGTATTATCAATATCTCCAAGAAAAGCGACTAAGCTGAATTTGATAAGTGATTGATATAGTAAGAGTTTCAAGTGAAAGGTGCTTTAATTCCTTTTTTCACAAAGAAGGGGGGGGGGGGGCTAGTAATATTAGAATTTAGCCATATTTCAAAATTAATCCCAAAGTATCTTTTCTACAAATTCGATCAATTTACAGTTTATTGGCATCCTGCTATTTATTCTCCTCTTTTCATTTACAAATTTGTAATTCATGGTATCTATTCTATTGTGTATAATTGCAATTCTTATGGTGAAAAGAAATGAATATACTGCGTAATAAATAGGTTTTAAGAAACATGTCTAATTTATACACTACATATCTACTTAGCGTTCAAGCTTTTTTTATGCTATTTGTAGTTGTAGTTAAAATATGATTATTTGTATAGATATATATGTAATACAAAAATTATAAATACTTCTGTATTAATAAAAGCATTAAAACTCTTTTCATAAAATGTCTTTGGTAAAGAATGGGTGTGGAGATATTCTATTTTGGGTGTAGAGATATTCTATTTCTACNGTATAAGTGCAATTCTTATGGTAAAAAGAAATTAATATATTGCGTAATATATAGGTTTTAAGAAACATGCATAATTTATACACTACATATTTACTTAGCGTTCAGGCTTTTTTTTATGCTATTTGTAGTTGTAGTTAAAATATGATTATTTGTATAGATATATGTAATACAAAAATTATAAATACTTTTGTATTAATAAAACCATTAAAACCCTTTCGTTTTCATAAAATGTCTTTGGTAAAGAATAGGTGTAGACATTCTATTTTGGGACTTCAAGGATGAAAACATACCATTGAATTATAATTAGATTTATCTTTCAAAGGAGGAGTTATTTTTAGAGTCTTGTTCCTCTTTCACTTCCATATTAGGAAGCATTAATGATTATTGATTATGCGTAGAGTTACAAGGTATGTACGACTTGAGCCTGTTTACATCATTCTCTGTCAGTATTTAATGCGGGAAGGATTGTTTTCGCATGACTCTTGCTGTATCATGTATTCCTTGTAAGATCTGCAGGAACCATCCGGAGTTTTGTTCACCCTCTCCCTTGTGGAGAGTGGATGTGAAATGTTATAGCCACCAGCCTACCCGTAAATAAAACTAATGAAGGAATAATTGTCTCACGACTGACTTATTTAAGCTAATTGTAATCAATGATAACAGGGATGTAGCCCTGTTATTTCAACTATGTCGTAATCCTTTATAAATTTTTTTTTTACATTACTAATGATGTATTTGTATTATGTTTTTAAAGTGCTCTGTCCCTACTCGCGGTCTCCAACCTCTACTATTGCTACGTAATTATTATTTTTTTTCCTTGACAAGTAACAGAGCGATACATCAACATTAAAAATTATTTAATTAAAGGGTTACAAAATATTTTATTGTATTCACATAGATTTGGTTTCACAATTTTAGTTCCAGATTCTAATTAGATAAAATTTAAACATATATATTGCCTATTTATTATAATATATTACATATTGTTACAATAGATGTTGTTACAATATTGTTATAATAGACACAACAATAGATGTTTTGATGTTTTGGAATTCCAAAACAGGTGTCAGCACTTGATTTTTCTCTTACAGATTCGGAAAATATATTTTACTATTATTACTTTAATTAACTGTAAATGTTACTTTACTTACATTTATTTATATTGTGATTTGAAGGAGGCGTTTCATTTGCTGGTTTAAATTTAGTACTTTTTAGTTGTGATTCCTTTTCAATTTTATAGTGCTTTTCAATTGGGGTAAAGGTTATCTATTTTTGTCTTTTCAATATGGGGCCTCGGGGCACTGTTAGTTTTGGTTAAATCCTCTAACAACAGAAAGGCTCCTGTGTGTTTGCAGGCAGTGTGTCCCCTGATGATTTCATTTTTATTTTAATTGTAAAGATTTTATATTTGTCTTATTTCTATTTTATATAAAACAAATTTGGTTGCTCTTTTCCTATTGATTTAATGATTTTATGTTTCAATGTGTTTACTTACCTCTTATGTATCAAAATTGACTTCGTAAATTGAACTGATTTTATGATTAGGTATTACATATTGCCTATTACATCCAAAATCGCTTTAATTTTTTAATTTGTGTTTAGTTTTTGGTTACTATGAAACCTCGTTAAACATTTTATGCCAAAGAAATTACATCTCAATAATGCGGAAATGTAATTAGTAATATTAATTCATAGCTTTAAATGAGTTATTTTCGCTTTTTTAATTGCATCAGTTGACTGAACATAGTTTTACGAAAAAATTATGATGAAGTTAAACTTTCAAAATAGAAAATATTTAATTGTAAAATGGTAACTAAATGGGTGTATCATAAAATTTTGCTTAGTAAGATAATATACGATAACTTTGAAACATAATAAGGGAACGCCACTTTTAGTTTTAAGCCCTTTTTTTAATAACATTCAAAACAACTTACGGAATAAAAACAGATAGTAATAGTTATTAAGGGATTATATATAAAGTGATGATAAATAAATATTACGTCTGAATGAGATTAAAGAAAAAGATAAATAACTAATGTACCGGTAAATATGTGTTAATTACCATGTTAATTACGAAATTAAATTACAGTCACAATAGTTTTCTAAATTTCACACAAAAGAAAAAAAAACTTAAATGTATGTACTAAATACCTGAAAGATTAATTATTTTTTTAATATTTTTTATTGCTTTTAACGAAATCTAAATCGATGATAATTCGCGATGTCTGAAATATGTAGGGGATCTTTAAATGTTTGAGAGGGATTTCTAAGTAACGAGGGGGACATATATCCAACATTCAACCCACCCCCACCAACGATGCCTATGGGTAAATGGTAAATACCTTTATAATTTTTACTAAATGTATGCTGATGACAAACAAAGACATCTAACTCTTATTTACATATTAAGTCACTTATTATTTGATTTTTTAGTCTAATGAAAATGTAAATAGTGAAATGACAATTCTAATGTTATGATGTACAAGTGTATAGTGATTCACAAAATACTTTAATTAAAAAACTTTTTTTTTTTTTTTTTTTTTTTTTTGAAACGGTATTTTGTTAGATTTTTGGTGTGTATGACACCATCTTAAAATAAATGACTAAAATCAAATGTGAAAAACTAACATTTAAGTGCCATTTGTTACTATAAAATTCAGTAACGTTTTCATATAAGAACTAAGATTTCTACAGATATAAATAAAGCTCAACTCTAAAGTGTATATCACCATTTTAAAAGTTTGTACAAAATATTCACATCCAAAAACTGTAGCTATAAATTTTATCATTAAGTAAAAGAATATTAATTTGTGGGAAATTAATTTATATAATGATAAAATTTGAATTTTAATTAGCATTTTTTCGTAAAATAATAATAATTCTGATGTTCTTTTTACACAAAATTGTGATGTATAGTGCACAAAAAATTAAATAAATAAAATAAAAAATTAATAAATGGGCTACACTGAATAACTTATGACCTGATCTTCCCGTTCTAGGACTCAATCGTAATGGTTAGAGGAGATCAAATATACTAAATAATTAGTCTAGACGATATTTTAAGTTACGAAATCAGACAAAAAAACTTACTTTCTCCGAATAAACATACCGTTTTTTCGATGGATTGAGATTGCTGACCTCCAAAATATAAGAGGGAGCAGCAATCTGGGAAATATGGTCCACATAGTTTGGCCAGGAGAGCGATCTAAAGTTTGAGACCCCTTGATTATTATTATTATTATAATTTTTTTGTGTGTGTATTTCGCTATATCTCGAGAACTTTTTAAGCGAATTGAAAAGTCTTTGCACATAATTGTAAAATTCATTTTTTTAAACATAATTCCATGCAAAAATAGCTTCTAGTATATAAATATGTATGTATGTTATTTTTTATTTAATAATAGTCGAAAAATTGATGAATTGTAATTGTCATACAATTTTTTACATCATTTTAAAGAATGTAATTTTATGTGGCAAAATACAAAATTTAAGCGAAATTCGGTGGAATAGTTTATGAGAAATAGAATTTTAAATATACGACTTTTATAAAATTCAATTTTAAAGGAACTATTTGACCGATTTCGCTCAAATTTTGTATTTTACCATAGAGGTTAAAATTGTGTAAAAAATTGCATACTTTACAACTCAAAATTTTTCGACAATTATTAAATAAAATAATAAATATCAATCAAAAGCTATTTTTTGCATGGAATTACCTTTTGACAAACCAATTTTATAATTGTGTGCAAAATTTTTTTAATTCTCTTAAAAAGTTCTGGAGTTATGGGGAAATACGCAAAAAGTAAAATTAACATTAAGGGATCGAAACTTTCAACAGCTCTCCTGACAAAACTATTTGAACAATACTTCCCAGTTTTCGGTTACCCCCTATATTTTGGGAGTCAGAAATCCGAATCAGTCGAAAAGAAGGTATGTTATTCAGAGAAAGTACGTTCTGTGTCTGATTTCATGACTTAAAATATCGTCTGCACTAATTAATCGACATATTCATCGGCCCTCGAACTATTAAGATTTAGCTCTGAAGTGAAAAGCTAATCACTAGTTATTCAGAGTGGTTGGTAAATTTTTTTTGCTCTGTACTTATTATTTATTGAGAAAATAAAAACCTTTCAGGTGCATGTATGATTGTTGGAGTCGTGTCGTTTCCAGCCGGATGGGACTCTGAAAAAGTGAGAGATGTTTGTGGACCAGAAGCTGACGATTACGACATAGGACAGTGTGGAGTTCGATGGGCTTACATATTGGCAACAATTGGTATATTTGATGCAGTGATATTGGCAGCTTTGGCTTTCTTACTGGCAACAAGATATGTCAAAATCACACCTTCAGAGCCTTTAGTTCCGAACGGTTCTATATACAAGGGTAAGTGTGGTTCAGCTGTTCAAGCTTTGTTTCAAAATGAGTCAAAACGGTTTAAGGCTGTGTTTCGAAGGCTAATATCATATTTTCATAACTACTGTAAAGTTACCCATGACTGTTAGATCAAGTTTAGTTTACCTATAGCCAGCGCTCTCTATGGTTGTTCAGAAAATGGCGCGAAACATCAATATGATGAAAAGCCACAGTTTTGTGAAAATGAAAAGCGTTTGTCGTTGTCGTCTACATTTTTAATGTTTAAAAACTCACCCCAATGCCGCATTATCTGGGCTCATAAAAAATAGCAATAACTGAGAATAAGGAAGTGATTTTAATAATTTTCATCTCTAAAAAATGTCGCCAAATTGGTGATTTTTTAAAAAGTTTAATAATTTTTAAAATATTTAAGTTATTAGTCTGTTCTAAAGCCCAGATAATTCTTTATGGCAAGATTGCATACATAGTTTAAAATTATAGCTTTACTTTAAGTGTAAGATACTTAAACTATGGATTTTTTATTTTCCTTTGAGAAACAAAAAAAACCATGCTAATATTTTATAAAATAAATAAAACGATCTCCAGTGACTAATTACGAACACCCTAGATCCTGCGTACAGAACTTTCTGGAGGTTCTCTACGTAAATTAAAACAGTGTATCTTTAAAGCGTATGTAAACCATGAAACGTAATTCGGTTATGGTAAGTTTTCTCATTATACTAAAATAATTTTCCTTGTAAAACAATTGAAAAAAATGTAGGTCTCCTCGTGTCCACTGTGCAAGTGTCCCAAATAATCATCTTTAAATCAAACCCTGGAGGCAGCAGCATAGCATAAGTTAAAGTACACTTCAGCAATCAACGTGGAATTTCTTTGCAGCTGCTTGGGTACTTTAAACATTAAAATGAACATACAGCCTAACTATTTAGGAAACTTATTAAGCTTTTCTAAAATTCAGTAATTTTGCGAAATTTATGTAATTATGACTTTGATGAAAATTTTTAAATTCACTAAGATGGACGAGCCCAAAGAATAATGTATAATAAATAATTTCAAAAAGAAGTTTTTTGAAGGCCTGTGAAACTGTTCAGAAGTTTAATTATACAGGGTGTTCCGCAATCACGGACCATCATATACATATTTAAAAACCATGTCTAAAATGTACACATTGAGGGTCACAAATATTCAAGATGGAAAACGTTGCAAAGCCCGACGAATTGTTGCCTAGATTGAAAACATGAAAATTTGTTTGAAAGAAACTGGCAAGACCTTCAATCTTCATCTGTTAATCAAGTTTGTTTTGATATTTTTGAACTCGGTTATCTCAAAAGCGTTCGTAAGATTTTGATAACGCACTTCTTTGTTTTTCACTTAAAATTCAATATGAGACTTCTTTTGTGTATATATAGATTATTTTTTCGACAAAGTGTTTAAATATCACGAAAGATGATTATGGAACTTTCTGCAAAAGAATAAACTCATATTTCACCCATTTTTTTGTGATTTTACAGGGGAAGTAAATAGCGCCTTCTTGGCAGACACACAGTCCGTGGCTTCAAGAAAATCGCTAGCTCTTCAACCAGTGATGCTAATGCCGCAACCTCGAGACCCAGAAAGGATATCAGAGTTTTCACAAAGAACTGGTCGATCGAAAGCCAGTCATTATACCTCCTCAGTACACAACTTCCAGCTCTAAATGTTACCAAATTTTTAGATTTGAATGATTCTTCATAGCGATCAAGGTTTGAAATCTTGAGAAAAGTAAGCGCTTTGTTTGTTGCCTGGTTAATAATGACTGCTAGAGAACAAATTGTTTTAAAAAAAATGATTGCACTTATTAACAAAGAACACTTATGTTATATTGACATACTTATTTATTTTGTCATGTTTTAGATATTTTTTTTATTGTTTTGTAAAATACTTTTAATAAAATATTTTAACCCTACTTAATACATCGATGGTTTAATTAACAGAACTGTGATTAGAAGAAATTTGTTTTTCAAAAGTCCTTTGCTTAGCAACGCTAGAGAAAAATCAGATTGCGAAGGAATAGATATTTTTCTTTCTTCCAGAACAACAGAACAAATTCATGACAAAAAGGAGGTTTTACCTCTCGTGATTAACGATTATACATTTGAAGGTGTCAGTTAGTTCAAATACCTAGGGACAATTGTTAAAGTTAATATTGATATCAAAACAGAAATTAATAACAGGATAACGATGGCGTGATTTTGGATTGAGAAATAAACTGAAATCGAAGCTTATTTCCTTTACAATTAAAATTAACTTATACAATACTCTAATCAAACTTGTAATACTTTCTGGTTGCGAATAAAACCTTTAATAAAGCTGATGAAAATAAACTACAAATTTTTTGAAAGAAAATACTGAGAGTTATTTTCGGAGCAGTTAAAGAAAACGATGTTTGGCAGAAAATTTAAGCTACCAAATATAATTTCAGTTATTAAATCCTATAGAAAATACATTTTTATACATATGGGTCATTATCTATGGAAAGGTGGATGGTGACCCAGTTAAGGTACTGACTTTTGAAAAGTTTACAAGCAACCGAAAATGGAAAAGATCGAACACCAAATGCATTGATTCTTTGGAAAAAGATCCTAAACCCATGGGCATCAATAGATGGAGAAAACTAGCGTTTGATCGGCCAGATGAAAAAGACTTGATGGAACGGCTCGGACCTATACTATGCTGTCATGCTGATGGAAGAAGAACAAAATCCATGACTGTCAATTTTCATCATTTTTGATAAGTATCACTGAAAATCATGACAATTTTGTGCGTTAAATATGTTAACATCGCAATTATATTAAAATTTTTCCAAAAAATATACTTTTTGTTATGTTTGAGCAACATTATGACACACTAAAAGAATATATAGCATATTAGAGGCATTTCTCAAAAAAAAAAAAAACAAATGATACAGCATTCAAACTGAAATAAAAATTGTTAAAAGTATTATATTAAATAAAATATAAATCAAAAAATATTTTAAAGAACATATTCAATTATTTCATTGTACGCTATATATGTCTCTTCTGTTAGATGTTTTAAAATGTCATAACCCATTGAACTCTCAGTTGGAATAATTTCTAACAAGGATCGAATTTGACGATTTAATATTGTATTTAGGTTTCGTATTTAATAACCAAATAATTTTAATTAGAGTTTCAGTAAATTTGAATGCAAATAAACATTAAAAATTTGTATTTGTAAGCCTCTTAATTCTGCATTTTAGAAATTTTGTAATCAATAAATAGTTAATTGGAATAAACCCCTTCTAAATAAACTGTACAAAGAATAAACCAATCTCCATTATACAAGATTTCGTATTATCTAAGAAGTAAGTAGATGACCTGAATATCGCTCTAAAAGTTTTTAATTAATCAAGTTTTCTTTCTTAATTTTATTTAAGAGTCCTAAAAATTCCAAAACAACATATCTTTATAGATTTGGAGAGAGGCCCCTAGGTCATTAGATATTTTTTTTTATTTAAAATTGTGAATTGTTAGTTAAATCTTTTGATCGAAATCATGCGAAAGAAGTCCACGGAAAAATGGCACACAACTAACACTTTTGGTCTGTAAATATTAGGCGATGGACTCAGCCAAACTTCATAACAAACTACGTAAGTGACAACAGTAGTTTCACAACTTGTAATGCGCTACTTTTGACCACTGCTTCTGGCCCATAAAACGTTAGATTAAAATTTTTTTTTTCATTTGTATAGCTGCAAATTTGTTAATAATAAAAATAAGAACACAAAGCATGATAAACCGAATAGGGGTAATTGGGACACTAAGTAAAAAATCCTGAAAATGCTATGAGCAAAATATCGATTTATCAACCATACATGTAACATAATTTTTTAAAATTAACATTTCTAACTAATGAAGATAATCACACCATCATAGTTACTAATTCAAGAAAAAACTTACTTTCTAGAACAGGGATGAGAGTAGTCAGAAAGTAAAAAAGAGGAAATCCAAAAAACAAAAAAAAGAAAAGAAAAAAAAGAANAAAAAAATCTCATCCCTGTATAAAGGTCAACCAGTTTTATCCTAAGGAAATGATTTTTAGAGAAACTTGAGAGGGAGGAAAAGGGACTTCAACAATTTCCCTCCGCGGAAAATTAAATTCCTCATAAAACATTTTAACTTGGGCAAAAAAAAATTTCAGCGGAAATTAGCGGGAAAAATCTGAAAAAAAGCGGAAATCCGCGAATCCGCGGAAGAATCTCATCCCTGCTAGAAGAATCGCGAAATTGGATTTTAAAAACGAGTAAATATAAAGTGCGATATTTTATAACGGTCGTTGAACAGCTGATCCAATTTTTGGGTTTATAACTACCATTGTTCAACAACGCAACCTTGATCTCCTGCATCAAGTATTGGGAGAGATTTGCCTTCGTGGGGGACTTTTTGATGAAACTAATCCGCATTTGCGTTTCATGGAGAGGTAGACCACGAGAACCTCCCGAGGTTAGCCTGACGGCAAGGGGACTCCAACCCATGATCCGCCTACCCCTGAGGATATTTCATGTCAGCACTGTCTGCGGTGCAAGCCGGATGCGGAATTCGTATCGACCAGCCATGACTGGGATTCGAACCCGGTTCACGTCATTGGAAGGCGAATGCTCTATCCCCTAAGCCATTGCGGATCAAATTGAAGTTTTAATTCGCATTAATACGAATCGCAACGCATAACTTTTAAATCAAATAAATACGAAAATTGATGATTGATATTAAAATCGCGATATTAGCAGTTTACGGCACTGTTCCAAACATTCAAAATGATGAAAACGCGCCAAACCAAAATGAATCAAATTGGCGCAAGATACATATGTATGTAAACTTCTTGATACACGATTTAGCAGCAAAGTTTTTGATCCTCGACCCTATGGTTTTGAGGTAAGCGGAATTATACGATATTAGCGGAAAAAATCACAAGCCCCGTTTCTAGCTTTTAGATCAGCTCAGGATTGAAAGGAAATCAGTACAGCGAGTGAAAAGGCCAAAAAATTAGAACATTTTGACCTAAAATCGTATTTCCGAAACAAATACGATTTAATGGGAACAGTTAGCAACTTCAACTATGCATTAGTATTCAGCTTGCCTCTGTTTCAATTTACCACAAATAGACAGACTAGCAGAAAAATGGCCAATTTTTAGTTGTTGACAGACTAAAATTACACAATAACCAACGTTTCCACACAGCTTTACTATCAGCAAAGTGTTTTAAGAAGAAAAAAAAAAGTTCAATTTATGAAACAAAATTTAACCATGATAATTTATGAAATTAAATGATACACAAAATATGACACCAATGGTTTTTGTGTTATTTTTATTGCATACAACGAATAAACAGTTTTCTTATAAATGTTATTCTGTTATAAAGTATCTTTCTATATACAGGAATAACAAGCATTTTCTTTTTTTGTTTATTTAATATATACAAATAAATATTTGGTAAGCAATGAAAAGCATTTCTGAAACAGGCAGGCACAAAAGTGTGATCTAAGGATGCGTTTCATTAAAAACAATAAATAAAAACTGACACCATGAAACAAATGAATGAAACTATGATTCATGTTTGCATAGTTAAGTTAATGAATGCTTCAGTTAAAACACTGCAATTTCACTTTCAGATGTTAAAAATAATTTTCAGAACTAAAAGCTTTTTAGGTAAAAATGATGAAAATTTTTGCTTAATTTTCTATTTTTACAAGCTAATTAAAAAAACAATTAAACAATGAATTTCTGTTTTGTTTTTGCAAAGCAGTAAAAGAAAGTCCAAAAACTATATATTTTCTTTGTATAAAACATTTGTATCCCCCCCCCCAAAAAAAAAATTAACTAACATATATATACATCAAAATTTTTTTTCTTCTGAAAAATAATAATCACTGGTAAACTATAATTATTTTCAATGGAAATTATATGCACTACATTTCAAATTAAGAAAGTTATAAGCTTTCTGAAAAAAATAAATAAAATGAATTAATAATAACAGATAACTATAATCATAGCTGTCAGCATTAAAAAAAAAAAATTCACATGCTGTGTGTGTGTTTTTCCTTTTTAATTCACAGTTCTGATAGTAACAAATATTTAATTTTAGATAGTTACAACTTATTCTATAAATAATTTAAAAATAGCTCTAAATTAAAAAAAAACTAATTAAGAAAAACCTATTACAATAAAATAGGCTTATAATACTCAAATAAATGTTTAACTAAGCAAAAAAAAAATCTTGAAATTATTTTTTTTAGAAAGCCTCCCAAAATATAATACAAGACTATCGGAGAATTTTTCATTAAACCAAAATCCAGTAGAGTTCACAGCTGAATGAAAAGAAAAATACTCACTGGCAAACTATAGAATCATTTTCATGCAATTTAACATACTTAATAACATTTTTGACAAGTATACAAAAAGAATATGCATATAATATTAGTTACATTATTCAAGAGTCAACATTAAAATTACAAGGTTAATTCATAAAGTAAAGATATTAACAACATTTAACTTTTATTAAAGATAACAATTCCAGGTTAAGAACAACAATCCAAGAGGGAAAAATAGAAATAAAAATGGCATAAGATGTGACATTTATAAATAAATACTCCTCCAATTTCCACATTTATAAAACAATTTGATTTGAAAAGCAACAATAAAGATACCTCAATATATACTATTAAAATTCATCATACAATGAAAACAAATGTATGTCCATAGAAACCATCCATTTGATGCGTTTTTTAGACACAGAGCTATACTGTTAAATGAATAAGGCTGTATTTAGTCAGTATTTATAATTAAAATGTTAAAATTAAGCAATTAATTGATATTTCATAAGTTACATTTCTTTTAAAAGCAACATTACAATTTGGTAGCTAGGTTCAATAAACTGGTAATTATGATTTATTTCATTCCAGTGAATAAAATGAAACAAAATATATAAATTAGCTACCTAATAAAAAATTATGTTATTTTGTCAATGACTAAACTAAAACAAAAACTGTCTTTTAATAATTTTATGTTAATAAATTAAACTAGGAATAAAAAGAAAACCTATGGTAAATTAATTTATCTTAAAACAGAATTGAAATTAACTATTTACCACTCCTTGTATTGAGAAAAAAAAAAAAAAACCTTTGTTAACTTGATTATAAATTGATTTAGTTAAAAACTAAAATTAAAAAGGATACATGATAGGAACTCACAGTTCTGAGGCAATTAAAACAACATTAATCTTTATAAGGCAGGAGTAACTTGTAAAATGCAGATGAAGAGCTTTTAGTGCTTTATTGCAAGAATATTAACTAAATTCTACAGCAAAAAGCCATTTACAATATCCTGAAAACATGCAGATTCTCATAAATTACAATAACCACTGATAATACTAAGAAATGAAAAGCAATATTAAAAAACTAATAATTTTTTATTCCACTGAAATATTTTATGTTTAAATTAAAGTCAAAGCTAACATAAAACTAAAATTGCTTGAAACACAAATGGCAAGTCATTTTTATTTCTTTTTGATTGCAATTTTAAACTAAAAAATGATACATGTATTTATGACAATATAATTAACATCTGAATAGTTAAGCTTTCAAATGCAGTTTAACTGCCTTAAATTAATAAATAATTCCTGAAAGGGATTAAAAAATTATTGTACACTTCACTCTTAATAAATTTTTTTAAATAATTCAGAAAACATTAAATGATCTAAAGCAAAGAAATTGCACAGATAAACTTTGAGGGCAATTTGTAAGAGGTTTTAGGTTATGAAAGAAATAAACGAACTTTATAAAAGCATGTTAAATAGTTTTTTCTTTTAACAATTATGAAAAACAACTCTGTAACTCTACCAAAAATTCAAAGGCTATACAAAAGTGATTAATAAAACTCAATAAAAAATATGAATAAATGCATCTAAAAACAAGTTGGTTTAGATGAAAAAGAAATGCATAAAACAAAAAATAACATTTTAAAAAGAAATAATATATTTAAAAAACTATGCAGAAGGAGAGAAGGAATTACACAGCAAAGGTAAGTTGTGAATGGAAAAGTAACAAATGAAAATAATTTACAAATTTTCGTTATTCAATTTATGTTTAAAAAATAAGTGTCATTTAATAATATTATAGTTTTAGATATAAATTTTAATTATATTTTGAAATAATGAGGTATTGAATATAAGGATATTATGAAGATATGAATATTGTCATGAAAGGCACAGTATTATACAATAAATGTTTTGCAACTAATGGCAAGAAATTACTATTTGACAAACAAATGAAAGAAATTAAAACTAAAAAAACAAACAACAGTCACTTATACTGGATTGGGGTCATATGCTTGCTCCCGAGATAACAATAAGTTTTTTTTGTTATTAACTTACACTAAATATTTACATATGAAAAATTTTCCTGTTATATTTTATAGCAAAATTTAAAAAAGTTCTGACGTGATTTATTCGAAGGCTGGAACATTAAAAATAAAGTATTTGATTTAATTTCTTTAATTTAAGGGTGCATAACTTGTTTCCAAAAAAGCTGCAGGGGGAGTAGATTTAGGGAGTTAAAATGTATTAAGTATTTACATACATTAATTGAATAATAACCTACACATTTTTAAATAAAATATTAACAAAAATAATGTCTTTTATGTAGCTTTTGGTTAGGCTGCACGTTATCCATTGAAGAGTCACATTCGATTACAAGTAACAAGTTGTGCATCCCTGCCTAAAGTAAACTGATATAATTCTTATCTTAAAAGAATAAATATTTTAATCCCTCAGATGCTTTTGATAAAGGGTGAATTTTAGAAATAGCACCCTCAATACATTCATTATCAAATAAAATGCATTACCTCATCAATTTTATTGTCTTATAATGTCGAAAACTGGTTTGATATGTAGAGAAAGATTTATGTGGAAATGCTTTTCTACATGCAAGACTGTCAGAGGATTAAAAAAAAATCTAATATGCTAAATGATAAAACTATCAATGTTTTGATGGAAATAAGGACTCATTTGCAATTGCAACACTTTGGACAACAAATTCCTAAAAACTCAAATTTATCCAAGGTGGCTGTAAGTACGCTGGAAAATATCCTAAGACTTCTCCAAATTGATAAAATTCAAATTTAACTGATTTTTGTAATAATTGGCATAACTTTTCATAAATTAATTCTTCAACTAAGTCTTATTTCTTTATATAAAATAAATTACTTGTTATTGAATTGAAAATCATCACAACTGCAAAATTTTTGAGAGAAAACATTGAGTTTTATTGATCTCAAACTACTTTTCCTTATTTGTGATTACCCTCTTATTAAAGGTTAAACCTGCTACATAAAATTTCCCATAAAAAAAGAACCAAAACAGAAGAAAAAGCAGCAGACACGTTATACACTTTTAAAAATCAATATGTTCCACCATTTTTCATTATAAAAAATTTAATAAATTACATCATATTGTGAGATCCAGTTAAGATAATTAAACAAAACACAAAGATCCTATAAGTAAAACAATGTTTTTAAGTGGATAAACATTATTTTAGCTCAAGCTTTTAAAAATCTTAATACAGTCAAATTAAGTTGAGATAAAGAGGGAGAGATAGTATTAACATGAAGCAATAAGACATTAAAATAAAAAACTTATAAACTGGATGGTTTTAAATAACTAATATTTTTGGATAACAATGATTATCTATGAAATAGGCTAAACAATAAATAAAAATGATTTAGATTAGCACTTGTAAACATCACAAAAAAGAGGCAAGACATTTTTGCTTATTTCTATTCAATAAAAATATCTCTGCTGTACAAATATAAACAAAGAAGTATGTATATACATATATAGTTATTTATATATATATATAAAAAAAACACTACCAGAGTGCAATATATGAAAAAAATAAATAAAAAAAAATCAAGGTGGGTTTTATGAAACTAGAAAAAGATTTTTCCTTTAAGAAATCGACCTATATTATTCAAGTGTTTATAAAGAAGTTTTAAATAAAAAAGATGATATCTGAGCTCAAGTATCTACAATAAATGTATATTTTTTAAAAAGTATACATTTTAAATATACTTTTAAAATGCCTTATATTTAAAATATAATAATATGATTATTATATTTCAAATGCATACTTTTAAAATGTCTGGTAGTAGAATGAGAGGTATCAAAGTGACATAAAATACTAAAAACATATGCTGAGAACTTAACAGGGTATTCAGGCAATTCCATGGCGACTGATGTTACATTTTGATAGGTTTTCCCATTTTCAACCTTCCTACTTTTTTCTCATTGATAAATAGTTAGTAAATTTTTAAAAAAAATTATATGGAATGCTTTTCAATATCTTTATATCATTATGTATATAAGAAAAGGGATGGAAATTACAAAAGCTTTACTTATTTAAAAATTTAAAATGTGACAGACATAGCATAGAAAGGAGAGGGATTAAAAAATTTTCTTTCTTCTATAGGAGAAATAGGATTATTTTTTAAAATTTATTTTTAAAAAAATAATAAAATTAACAGATAACATTGAAAGTACATATGAAATGATATATAGAAAGTGGAAAATGGAGAAAAAGCTCGTGACTGGATGTTAGAAATACAAACTAGATTAAAATTTTATCAACTTTTCTTCTTATTATTATTACAAAGAAAAAACTACAATCTTTGATTTTATATCTAAAGTAGTAAATAAACTAAGAAATCTGTTAACTGAAGAATGCTTTTAAACATTTATTTATTTGTTTCTTTATTATGTTGTCTTTGTACCATGGAATTGCCCATTAAGTAAAGGATTGATTTCAAAATTAAAAATTGTAGAAGATGCCATAAAAGATTAAATTGTTTAAATATAACTTTATGTTTAGATATTTATTCTTTAAATTTGACTAAAAAATATTGTCTCTGAATCACTACAATATTTAGTGAAATTTGATTCAATTACTTTCTTCTTTTTTAATAAATTAGTTCTGAGAAAACATTGATTATTTTTTTTACAAGCTATAATGAAAAATAACTTTAATATTTAATTAACTAATAAAATAACTAATTAAGGTTTTTCATAAGATCTAAATTTAATCCACTTTCAGGATAAATGAGCTCAATAACACACCTAGTTTTCATAAATTTCTTTTTAAACATCTACAAAATGTTAATTTCTAAAAGTTTAACAAATTAAGGAAAATATTTAAAAAAAAAAAATAATACAACATTAAAAATTTTTTAAAGCATTCCCATAAAATGCTTGAAACACAAATAAAATTTGTATTAAAGTAGTAGTAACAAAAGTAAACCCTAAAACTTTATGATTTTTGCAGATAACTTTCAAAACTTATTACATATCTATTAAAAATGATTTCTATACACAAGTATATACAAAAACAGTATTTATAACAACCTGCCAAATAAAATGGCATTTACAGAATGGATCAACATACAGTGTGCTTGAAACATCAATTCTTTTCATATGATGAATCAGAATATACATAATTTGGAAATATTCACAATAACAGTACTGTTAAGAAACACTGTTATGAGCAATAATTTCAATACTGAAAATAGCCTTATATAAGGGAACAATTTTCAATGTTCAGCAACTTAACTTTGTACTAATTTTTTTTAGCTTGTTTTAAATAAAACAAAAAAACACTAACCATATTTGGTAAATTGGTGTCAACTGTCATTTTTTTATTTTTAAAAAGTTTAGTTAAAATTTTAATTTAATGTTTGGTAAGCAAGGGTGCTAAAATTATAAATTTAAGCTTAAAGACTACAAATGCCTCATGTCACGATAACAGCTCTACATCAAATTGTAATGCATAAAATTCAAAATAAACGAATTTCTAATTCAACAATTCACATTTTTCACTTGGGAGGGGGTATATTAATGAATTTTTCAGTGATTAATACAAATAAATTTTATTAAATAAAATTTTTAATGTCCAATAAATTTTTTTTTAATAAATACTTTCTTATTTAAAAATGCACCTTTAAACTTTTATTTTCTCATTTTTTCAGTGTTAAATGCTAAAAAAGCTTTAAAGTCGTTCATTTATTAATCCCCTCTTTTAAGTTTATTTATTTATTAAGTAATTAAGTTTATTTATCTTTTAAGTTTATTGAATTATACACAGATGTCTTTTAACTTGCCTTTAATTATATTTCAAAAGTATAAATTTTTCTGTCATTTCGATAATAAGTGAGGATTACTTTGCGAAATACACACATAAAATAGTATAAAAGGATAATTTAAAAATTGAGGATCAAATTCAGTAATTGCATAGTGTACATGTTTTGATAAATTTTAATGGTGTTAAGTGAGTGTCATTTCAAAACTGAAATCGCCCTTTTCTGCGAGTAAGTGTCCTTATTCCTAGGGAGAACTATGTAATTGCAAATATAAATATTGATCGAAATGGATAATTTCACTTTTTTATATTTTCAATTATTTTGAAATTTCATATCGGAATTTTCAAAAATACTGAAATCAAAGGTTCATGAAATGAGATATTTGTACAACAGCTATTATATTTAGTTAGGATAATAACTAACTGGTAATAATTTTCACTTTTATTCCTTATTTAGGAACATAACTACCTCTTATAAAGGAGTTATGTATGATTGCAAGAATATTGCAAAAGGTCGATAAGTAAAATAAAAGATTATTCTAAATGAATCCTTACAAACTAGCTCAAGAAGATTTGCATCATTATTGAAAGAATTGTACACAACATCATTTCTTTAACAGAACTTAAGATTATTTCCAACACACGTATAGTAATTGCAGTATTAAGTTGATAAAAATGATTTCACATTTAAAAGTTGGATTTAATGAAGATGCCATGATAAAACTTGATAGAATTAATGTTTCACTCACACTCATGAAGGTCTCTAAAATCTCACTGGCAACAAAATTATGAAGATGTACTTGACTCTCCAAATGTATTCCTTACAAGATGCTGTTCAGTTGTCAGTACAAGCACATTTTGCGATTCTGGCCTGCTATGATGAGAAGCATGTTTGGTTTTCGAAATAGAGGCTCTATGAGAATGGACACTCTCTTTGTGATGAAGTTTTTTCTTTATCGGCAATTCTACTTCCTCAATTTCATCTCTTACAGTGTTTACCAAACAAGCAACACAGTCTACAACAGCTGATTCAATATCTTGAATGGCCTCCCTCGAATGATGATGATGGCGGCTTTTGGACCTACGCTCGCTTGATGATTTATGTTTTGGAATGATATCTTTCTGACCGGGTGAGTTTGTGTTACAGGGAAGCAGTTTATCTGTTTTGTGTAGCTTGTGCTGACCAAAGTCATGCTCCTCAGAATGTTTTCGTTTCTCTTTCTTGAAGTTTCTGGGATGCTCTTCAATTTTGTTCATGCTTTTAAAAGTTTTGAAGTCAATGGCATCACTTCTGTTGTCATCAACAGCAAACATTTTATCACCCAATTGCTTAGAGTCTTTACAAATAACCAACTCCACAGCCGCTTTCACCTCAAAATTTTTCTCCTTAGTAGACGATTCTCTATTTTTCTCCTTACTAGATTCTTTTTCTTTCACTTTATTAGATTCTTTTTCTTTCTCTTTACTGGATTCTCTTTCTTTCTCTTTACTGGATTCTCTTTCTTTCTCCTTACTGGATTCTCTTTCTTTCTCCTTACTGGATTCTCTTTCTTTCACTTTACTAGATTCTCTTTCTTTCTCTTTACTTGATTCCTTTTCTCTCTCTTTACTTGATTCCTTTTCTTTCTCTTTACTTGATTCCTTTTCTTTCTCTTTACTTGATTCCCTTTCTCTCTCTTTATTTGATTCCTTTTCTTTCTCTCTCTCTTTATTTAATTCCTTTTCTTTCTCTCTCTCTTTACTTGATTCCTTTTCTCTCTCTTTACTTGATTCCTTTCCTCTCTCTTTACTTGATTCCTTTTCTTTCTCTTTACTTGATTCCTTTTCTTTCTCTTTACTTAATTCCTTTTCTTTACTGGATTCTTTTTCTTTCTTTATTGGTGTGCCTCTATGAGGATTTTTAGACGATTTGTCTGGTGATGTAGAAGAACTTTTAACGGAGTGGTGATGTTCCTTCTTTTTCAAAGAAGAATCTTTTTTAACATGATGCGTGACAGAAGATTTATTATCCGTAATTTTTCGAGGGGAGCTAGACTTATTTTCCCCATGGAAAACTGACCTAACTTCTTCACCTTTTCTAGGTGAGTCAGTTTTAGAATTGTTCTCACTCATGGAGACCTGCTTTTTAGCATCATCAACTATATCCCCAAAGTTAAGAGCTTTCACATGGTGCTTCTTTGGAGTGCCTGATTTCGAATCATTGAATGAAACAGATTTAGTTTCACATTTTTTCTGTGAATCAGATTTAGAGTCCCGCTCATAAGTTTTATGCTTAAATTTATGTTGATTATCAGAGGGTTCTTGTTTGATGTGTTTAAGAATAGAGCTTGGCTTTTCACTTTTTTTATGCTCATGTTTAACTTTCACTTTCTCAGGTTTGCTTGAGGATTCTGAATGCACTCTTTTTTTGGTGTAGGGTGAATCTAAAGGTTCAACCTTAATTTTTCTTTCTTTTAGGGGAGATGTATCAGATTCACTAGATTGTCCCTCAGGAGGAATGTAATACTGAGCCAATCGTACATGCCAAGCAATGCTTGTCACAGCACTGACTGTCCGAAACTGATGGATTATATTCCTCGGGAGAAAATAAATGTCATTATCACACAATTGAATGCGAGCATATCTTATGCCATCTCTATGAAGTTGATTCAATTTAGCATCTTCTACCCATTGAACACACTGAAAATAAAATTAAGTTTAATTAAGTATTTTCTTTTTTATAAAATTAAATATGTCGAATACCAAGAGAATAAGATAAAAATGTGTAAACGAAGAGTAAAATTGTAGGTGTTATTGCACGTTAGAACAAACAAAACTGCAGAAAAGAATGCAGCTTACTTTAGTATTAAAGTACCATTTTACTTAAAAAATTTTTGCATTTTTTTCTTCATTACATTCAGTTTTGTTTCGGTGTAGGATAGTAATTAACATGATTACTGTACTGTACACAGGAAAAATTTTAAATTTTAAGGTCAATATCAACTAGCAGGTCTATAATTCCTAACAGTTTAATACACAAAAAACAAGTTATACATAAAAATGAAATTACTCAATGCAAAGTAGTATAATTTAAGTAAAATTAATTAATAAATTAAGTAGTAATTTAAGTAAGGCTAATAAGTAAGTTTCAACTACTACAATAAAATTAAATATCATGAAGCATATCCTTTCAGTTTAAAGCAGGCTACCTTATGAATCCCAACTTAATGATCAGCCCAGTAACAGAATTTGCATTTCACAGCGGCAAATGCTGCAGATTTAGTTTGATTAAGTAGACAAAAATAAACATTTACGGACAAAATTAAGTTAAACTATAGTTTTTGTTCTACAAGTAGGACGTTCTCTTAGGGTTGAACTATAGAATGAATTCAATACTTTGACAACACTCAAGTAGGGATCTTGTTAATAGAAACAAAAACATAGTATGTTTGTTTATGGGATATTACCTGTGCTTTATTTGCACTTTATTTATTTGTAGTATAAAGTAAGTTTACCTTCATTTTCATAAGTTAAACATAATTTAAATCAATTAAATAATTTTAAGTACTAAGTGAAGTTAATTTTTATCATGTTTATAAAGTACTAGACATTCTTAAATTTGAAAAATTGTAAACCTAAGAAGTGCAACATTATTTTGAAAAAGAAAGTAATGTTAATTAAATATTCCAATTTTTATTTTATTATTCATATTGGTTAGGTCTAATTCTCTTGTCCTTCTAAACGTTATCGCATAAATGGAAAAGGCTCTAAATGATAATTAATGTTTAACAGCTCAAAGTCAGTTACAAATCATCTTTTTTAATTAAAACCAATTTATGTTAAATAGATGCTTAAAATATGATTTTTATATGCTAACAAAAAATCCTGGAATGGTTTTAACATAAAAATTCTTGTGCATCTTCAGAATGTCTCTTTCACAAGGCTAATTTCACAAAGCTCTTTAAATTAAATACTGAATTCAGTGCTTCAAATTTTTTGGTACAATTTTAAAGTGAGTTCAGGGTTCATGCTCTACTATAAAAATAAAATTTAAGTACTTTTCAAGGACTTTTTAAGACTTATTATAAAATTCTCAAGGACTTAAATTTCAGTTAAAGATAGACTAAAATGTTTTGACGATAAATGTTAGTCGATAATAGCAGTACTGAAAAATAAGACTTCCATTGCTCTCTCTTGTTTTCGGAAAGTGATCTAAGTATATATAAAAAAAAAAATTAAAAAAACAAGGGTGATTGGCATCAAGTCGAGAATAAAATTCATGATGCATAAAAACGTCAGGTTTGAATTTTGCATTAAGGCTTATTTCAAGTCAGGTATACAAAGTCTGAATAAGCAAAGAATCGGGCAGAAGGGGGGAATGTTCTATATAATATTGTGATATCAATTAGATATTTAAAAACAACTCTGCCAGGAGACTTTTATTTAATATTTAAAGTGGCAGAAGCATTTAGACAGTGAAATTTAAATTGTTCTTAAATATAATTTTGAAATTTCGACCACTTTTCTATTTAAGAAAATTAATCAATTATTGGATGTTGCTGCTTGATTATCATTTTAAATTTATTACCAGTCAACCATTTTAAATTGAAACAGTTGCCAACTTTCACCTCAATACCTTCTGATAGATTCTTAGTAACAATTTTGGTCACTGACTTTTTTAATTAACCACTCATATTTGAATAAACTTTTTTTCAGTAGCATCGATCATACGCACTTGACATGGTCACGTGAATATGAATTGCAACGAGTAGTTTTCAAATCGAGTATAAATATGAAAATCGATGTTTGATATCGCAAAATGCGTGAATACGAATAGCGACATTGGATTTTAAACTCGCGGAAAAACTAATTGCACTAAAAAAAATGCTTAAGTACAAATCGCGATATTAGATTTTTAAATTGCTTTAATGGGAATTGCGAGTACGATTCTTGAATCACGCGAAAACGAATTGCAACACCAGGCATTAAAGTGGACAAAAATAAAAAAAGCTGAACTTTTACAACGCAGGTCACTAGGAGGAGGGGGGGTGCTCTATATGATACTGAGATTTATAAAAGCATCTTTTATCTATGCTGGGAGATTTTTATTCAATATTTAAAGTGGCAGAAGCATTTAGACAGTTAACTTTAAATTTTTCTTAAATATAATTTTAAAATTTTGACCACTAATATATTAAAAAAAATTAAGCAATTATAGGAAGGCGCGACTATTTAATTACTTACTAATGAAAAATATATCACATCTTTACAGTAACTAATTCAAGAGAAAGCTTACCTCTACTTCTTTCAAGAATCGTGATATTGGGTTTTAAAATCGTGTGAATATGAATCTTGATATTGGATTATAAAATCGCATGAATATGAATCGCGATTTTGGATTTCTAAATCGCGTGAATATGAATCGCGATATTGAATTTTAAAATCGCATGAATATGAATCACGATATTGGATTTTAAAATCGCGTGAATATGAATCGCGATTTGGGATTTTAAAATCGAATAAGAATCACGATGCATAATTGTTAGATCACGTGAATACGAATCACAGTGAGTAATTTTTAAATAGTCTACAAATACGAAAAACGATATCTGATATTACAACTGCGTGATAACGAATCGCAAAATTGGATTTGAAAATGCGTGAATACGAATCGCAACGTTGGATTTTAAACTCATACAAATCATGATATTGGGTTTTAAAAACGCTTAAATACAAATCGCGATATTGGATTTTGAAATTGAGTGAATAGGAATTGCTAGTACGATTTTTAAATCGCATAAAAAAATTGCAACACGTAAGTTTTAAATCAGTTAAATACAAAAATCGATGATTGATATTAAAACCATTTGATTAAAAATCGCGATTTTAGCAAATTCTGGTGCAGTTCCTAATATTTAAAATTCCAAAAATCAGCCAAACAAAAAAAAATATCAAATATCGGCGCTCGTAACGAAACGCTTAGGCTCCTTTCCACTCTATAGCGGAAGTCGCGGTAATCCGACTATCGTTCGGGTGGCTTGGGTTTCTCAAATAGGACTTTTAGTTTTTGGAACATGGTCGGAAATTTTCAAAATTGGGGAAAAAAAGCGGATTTCCGCTTTTTTGTGGAAGTCTTTCATCCCTGCAACACATAATTTTTAAATAAGTCTAATACGAAGACCGATGATTGATATTAAAATCGCCTGAATAAGAATCGAGATTTTGTCAGAATCTGGCGCAGTTCCCAATATTTAAAATTCCTAAAATCAGCCAAACATACATAAAATCAAACAGTACTTGTCATCATCTGAAAGACGGGGAAGTCATTCTCTCACACTTACACGCGTCAAAAAGTCAAAACATAGAAATACTGGAAATAGGGCTGTTTTCCTGAGTTTTCGATACTTTTCAAGGTCATTTCGAAATTTTCAAGGATTTAATATCATTTTCAAGTGCTTCTAGGGGCCTTTGAAAATCAAAATGAAATTCAAGTACTTTTCAAGGCCGCGGGAACCCTGTGAGTTTTGTACATAAGTCCTATAAATATTTAAAATGCAACATGAAAAAAATATTGAGCATTATTCGGCAGAGCTGGGTAGCGCTTTTCGGACAAATTAATTCAGCCTCCATAATAGCCTCTAAGAATAAACATTCATGGCTCAAGAAGGAATGCATTCTTTAATTAATATTGATAGTTGGCAAGAATAGCAAGTAATCATAAAAGAGACCTAAAGTCACTTAAAAAAATTATTCAGGCTTTCTTTTTCTGAAAGAAAATAAAAAATAATTTATAATTAAACTAGCTGAATTGACGATCTAAAAAATGAGGAAATTAATCACAGTATCAAATTAAAACACTGAGTCCTAAAAAAATAATGAATCGAGTATAAATTTTTAATTAGTCGAGGATTTAATTCAGTGATTCTCAACCGATTTTTTGTTGCGGCACACTTTTAACGATTTCGAAATTTGACGGCACACAATGAAAAAAATTAGATTAAAAGTTGTTTAATTACCTATTTTACACTGTGTTAAATAGCTTGTGATAATAATTTTGAATGTGAAATAATATGTACTAGAAAAGCACATTTATTAAGGGATTAATTATTTCTTTCGACTAATTTTTTATTAGTTTGTAACAGTTACTTAATTTTTGCTAGTTATTAATTGTTAGCTTGTTTTCTATAGTTATTAACTGTTATTTTTTTAAACATTAACTGTTATTTTTTTAAACATTAACTGTTATTTTTTTGTAATTTCTTGTTAACTAGTTTTTTTGCTAATTATTAATTGTTAGCTTAATTTTTGTTAGTTATCCTTTGTTAATTTGTTTTTTATATATTTGTTTTTTAGTTATCCTTTGTTAATTTGTTTATTAATTGCATAGCTTACTTTAATGATTAGCTCTTACAACATTTTTTAAAGTTGTGTGTCATATACAATTTAAACACTTCCACCTTATTTTAAGATTGTCAGAGACAAGACAATCGCCGACGTTCACGCGGTTAAAGGGTGGAAAAATTATAAAAAGTATATATACATATATACACTTTAATTTAAACTTTACTCATAAAAAAAGCATTATAATTCTTATTGTATCATTTCTAATATTTGGCGGCACATTTTAAGAATTTGGCGGCACACAAAAGTGCCGCGGCACAGTGGTTGAGAATCACTGATTTAATTAATCGAATTTCATAACAAGAAATTAATCTGTAATTATATTAAGATGATCCCTAGAAATAGGATTCCAAACAAATGATTCACTACCATTGTAATATTATGATTTAGCAAAATTACAAATCTTTCTTAACCCTTTGTTTGTGGCATACCATGTTGCACCATCACATATGGTCCACACGTTGTACCAAGTGTAAGCAAAAAGTTAAAGATAATTATTATTTTTTCTTTTAACAGCTGTGCAAGATTAAGATGATGCATGATGTTAATGTGATTACTAGTAAGTGACTATTTATTGAATTCAATTAAAAAAACAAAACAAGCATTGGTACAAAATTACCCTTAAGGCAACTCAAGAATGAAACAAATGTATATTTATTATTTGAGAGAAAAATCGCAATCAGACTAACACTTAAAAGTACTGATTTAAAATGGTAGAAAGTAGTGTTATCAGCATCATAATACTAAAAAAACATTTATAACAAAAGCTGAGAGTGATTATACCTGGGAGACAGGAGGTTCATGCAAGTCCAATTGAAGTTTCTCAACCAGCTCATTAAAATCTCCTGCATGAAAAGCCACAACATCTTTTGTGATCCTGTTTGATGGGTACCTAGAAATCATACAAAGTCAGCCAAAAGTAATCTAATTAATAATTAAAAAAATGTTAATGAAAAATATAGCAGTTACATAAATAGTTATATATATANATTTATATGTATATATATATATATATATAGTTCAAAATGAAGATGAAACAAGGAAAAATTATAGACATATGAAAAAAGGGGGGGGGGAATAATAAGTAAAAAATTAACAAAGTATAAAAAAGAAAAAAGGTTGAAATTTTTGATTGGGAAGATTTTGCGGATATAATCGTGTGGGCTGATGAAAAGATTACATTTTTTTTTCTCCGGTTTTTTTTAAATAAAATTTCATCCTTTTTTTTAAAAAACTGCTGTTTGTTATATTTTTACTTATTATTTTTGCCCCCCTTTTTTATATGTCTATAATTTTTCTTTGTTTTATCTTCATTTTGAACTTATCTAATGAGTTCTGTTTACTTGCAGCTTATGCGCAATAAATGAAACTTATTGTTTTTCTTAACTTTCTTCGTGTTTTCTTGTATTTATATATATATATATATACACACACACACACACACACATTTACATATGCATATTAACATAAAAAGCTTCAACTAATCTTTTAATTTTATTTCTTTATCTAAATCTTCTTTACAAATTATTCAAAATTAAAATGCTTTCTTACACTTTATTATTCACATCCAGCATTTTGGTTTTATATTCAAATTTTAAGTATGCATGAATTAACATTTTAAATTTTCTCTTAAACTGAACTGTAAGAACCATATTATTTCTTTGACTTACTAATGTTTCCATTTCTGCAAGTGGTGCAAGACGTCTTTGGGATTATTTTGCAAGATTTTCCTTTATATTTATTTATTGGCACTTTGATTTTCTTTTACTTGAATGACCGTTCTCTGGGTAATATTGGTTAAATAAAGTTTAATTTGCTCTTCTTAAATCCTGTGCCTGTCTGCCTGACTGACATTGTGAGAAGTCGGCGAGATTGATAGCTGCGGGGTTGGGTGCACAATAAATAAAATGCAAGTTATTATTATTGAAAAAAAAAAAAAAAGAGTGCTTTGCAGAAGAATAGAGTTGAAGAAAGGAATTGCAGAAGAAAAAAGTCAGAATTCCTTTAAAACGAAAACAGTGTTTGTTTATCGCATGTGATTCATTAAAATATGTGCCTTTGAAGATGTGCTATGAAAAAGATTGTCAATCAGTGGAAGAAAATGGGAATAGTGCTTCACATTTAGAATGTGAAATTAATAACGGATTACAATTATTAAAGAAAATGCATGATTTGGGAGGCAAAAGGTTTTTTCAAAAACAAGTAATAAACAAGAGTGAAAACATATTGACACGGAACGTATGTCACGGAAACATATGTCAATATCTTTTTAAAGTAATTGTTATCTATTTTATTGTTTTATATGCTACAATTATTATGATTGATATGTGTACAGTTTATATGATTAATTGTTTGGAAAAATTTAAAATTTTGCCTCAATATTGTGTTTAGGGTTAAGATAAATAAGCAATTAAAATAATGTAATAATTGATAGAAATAACTTTGAAAATTAATTAAATACTGGTTTTCAAAATTTAATTTTGAATCAAGATATACCAGAAGAAAAATTTGATATATTAGTGTTTGAGCCAGTCTTGGTGTTCAATTCAAATCTTAGTTCAAACAATTCTATTAACAATCACAATTCTTTATTGCTGAGAATCAATTTCAGCATTAAGGTAAACAAGAAAGAGACCAAACACAAAATTGACAATTAATAGTTTCTGGATACAATTCAAAATCTTATAATAATAATAAAATTCTTCATATTTTTAAATGTCGACACAGGTAGTACTTATAATATAATTCAAACTAAAGTTTTTAAAAAATTATTTTATGCAAAAAGCTTAAAAAAAAAACAAAAATTACATACGAATTTCCACAGTGAACTGCTTTGAGGACACCAACAGCAGCAGTTGTTAAACGATCAAATCCTTGGCCAACATGATCAGCATGACATTTCGTTCTATCTTCAAACATCATTTCACGGGGTTCGGTACTACGAGGCAAGTACTGCAACTTCCTTAATTCATTGAAAGCACCCCTAAACACATGAAATATCATTAGAAAAAGTATAATGGTTTCACATGCAATTGTGGCTCAATTAAATTAAGAGAAAATAAGTGTTGTAAAGTTATAAATTTTAATAAACAGGTAATTATTTTACTGAAGCACTTTTCTTGTTCTATGATATATATGTTTTATTTTCTCAATTCCTTAACTTTTACCTTCTTAAGCACACACATATTTCTGAACTATTTAAAAAATTTATTATATTATAAAACTGCTACAGAGATAAATCTATACATATACTGATATAGTATGATGACTTTCCACTTAAATATTCATAATCAATGTTCTTAGAATAATTTGCATCAACGGTTAACACATCACTTTGTACGTGTGCTATTACTTTGTATTTGTGTTACTACTGTTCAAAGTCTGAAAAGTGCCAATAAAACAGTAAAGATGGTGCGAGTTGAATAATATATAACTTCCAGGTTAAAAAAGAACACTCTTCTTTAAAAAACAGTATAGTTTAATTACTCCACCATTTTTTTTTTAAATAATCAATAAGCTTAATTTTCCCTTAAAAAATCTGCGGGTGACTTTAATGAATGTAAATAATGTCCTCCTAAATTTTATTACAGAAATTGCAAGTAGGTAAATATCTTTTGATTTGCAGAATATTAGGGCAACTTACGTTAATAAAATATGGATAGCTTAATAAAAGAAATTACATAGTTTTTCATCTATTGGATAAAACTATTGTTTGGATAAAACTAAGTTTTAAATTTTAACTGCATTTCCCCCCGAATAATTTAGAGTATTTGCACAATTGTTTTAAGTTATAGTTTTAACAACATTAAAAATCTGAATTTTGATTCTTTTCTGTCAGTTTTTTTTATTTATTTAAAAGAGTATAAATAAGAACTTTATTACTATTAAAATATTATGTACTATAGAAATTTTAAGTTTCAGTTATAACTACAAATTGAAATTTCTTAATTTTAGATAAAATGTTTACATATATGCAATAAAAAGATGGAAAAAATTTAAACACAAGTAAAAAGTTAAAAACTTTATTAGGATGCTTGGATGAAAAGTTTTATTGGTGGCAGGCTCAAGGTATACAATAAAGAAAATTATGTGACCTTTAAAAAATGCCACCGCCAAAGCAAATTTCTATCCAGTTCTAAACCATAAACAATTTAAATGAAATATACAAATCTAATAATAATACAAATAAAAAAAATTTTAAAATGTAAAACAACAATATCCAATACAATAACAAACAACAATATATTTTGAAGTTATTATAGAGCAAATGGAGTTATAAAAAATTGTGTTATTCTAGTTAATTGTCATTGTCTCCATACACAAAAACACATTTTAAAACAAGAATTATGGTTTTAAATTATTATTAATTTGCTTATAAAAGGTGGTTTTACTCAAAGTAACATAAAAATATAAGTGATTAAAAATGTTTTTGCAATGGAAAATTAAAAATTCTTAATATTTCTTCAAAATTTTAGATATAATTATTTTCATAAATAATATTAAATTCTCCATTATATATCATTTAGAATGTTTACCAATATAAGCTTATTAAAAAATTAAATAGTTTTTTTTTTACGTGTGGTGACAGTAATTAAATTTAAAATGCACAGTTTAAAGTCCTCACCAAATTTTTGTTTTGAAAGTTTTTTCATCGCTGGTCATTGACTTAGATGCTTACATGAATGGTTTTAATGAAAAAATTCACGTTTTGAGAAAATCTGGCCTTTTTAAAATTGCTAACGCTCTTTCGCAATGCTCCCTGCAAGAAGTCTGATAAACAATGTTAGCAGTTTGATCAGTCTGCAAGGGCCAGATTTTTGAATTAGCTTATGTCATATATAGATATATAAATAATACTATAAAAGTATTTCAAATTAAATAAAAAAACAACATTATATTAAGTATGGTGAAAACTCGATCAAAATAAACTGGTGAACATTAAATTGACATTGATTATTTATCATTAATAAAACAAGGGTATTTACAGATCTTATTTATACACATATTTTTAAAAAGTTAACACACTTCATTCAGGTTTGTTCCTAAATATCTAGCTTTTTTCAAGGCATTGAGATAATATAAATCGTAATTTAAGAGTGACAAAAAAAGAGCTATACCTCTTTCTTTTCCCTGGGGATTTAGACAAATCAGCAGTAGGAACTAATTGTTCACCAGGTCTAACCCAAAGTATTGGACCATCGTTGCTTTCTTGGGGATTCATGTGCACAACAGACATAGGTCCCCAAGGCATAGTCAAATAAAGAAAGGGATTTTCTTCTAGCATCTGAAGAAATTCTGGAAAATAACCACCTACTTCTTCATGGACAGTTCCCACAAGGCTTATTTGATGTAATGGACCAGTTCGAAATGTACCTTGACTGTAATGAGCATGAACCTAATAAGAAACACAAAACATTGACCAATTAAAATAGTTAAACTTCATAGCAAAGATGACAGACAAAATTTTGGAAAAAACCTCTGGAAGTAATAGGTGTCTTCTTACCCAGGTGGAAGAATTGAGAGAAATTTTATTTCAAAAAGAAACTTAAAATATTAACTTATATTTTCAAACATTTTCGCTAGTAAACAAATTTAAGTAATAGTATTAATTTCTAAGCTTTTTAATTCATTTATAAAAAGTGACTTATATTAAAATATAAAAACAATAGTTTGTTTTCAATATTTCACAGAAATTAAAATACAGAACTTTAAAATTGTATAAAGACATTAAATTAACAAACATTGAAATACCCCTCTATACTTTATAGCAGAAAAGAAATTGCTAAATGTAATTATAAATAACTAAACTAAAATTATAGAAAGGGAGGAACTCGAAGAGTACAGTTTATACCCATCCTCAGGCAAACCTCTACATGTTTTAATTTATTTTTAAAATTGTAAGTTTTAAATATGGAAATTTATTTTTAACTTGTTTGGCACCTTGGAGATTGTAGTTCACGTGACAGTTCACAATATGGAAGTCCCCCCACACTTTATTGCAGAAAAAAATTTGTTTAGTATATATTTTCAGTCAATACTTACTTGCTCACAATATTTTAACATTGTTGTAGTTTCTATGTCAGATTGGCGAGTTAGTGCACCAGCTTTCACAACAAGATTAGGATATCTATCAGCAAAATGTTCAAGTATATCAGGTAGATACTCAGCTGCATTATGAACAATACCCATTACATACTTAGCAACTCCATAAGGTTCTTCTAAAAATGTTTCCTACAAAGAATAGGTTAGTAAGAAACAAAAGTAAACAAACTGTATTTCATTTAAATGTTTAGTTAAGTATTTAATCCATGCATGTAATAAAATATAATAATAAAATAAAAAAAAACATCAAGATAAGAGTGCATAACAGTGGATATGGAAAAGCGAAATTTGAAGAATTGAAACTAGATTACTTTTGAGGACGTAAATGAATAATCGGCCAAATATTCAGCAAAGTACTATTTATAAAATTATTTCTCGAAAATTTTTTTTTTCGGGAGGGGGGGATTTTAATAGATTTAATATAGAATAATCTAAAATTGTATCTTGTTAAGATCTAAAACTTGTTAATTTATGTTCTGAAAGATGCATGGAAGAGATAAGTTTGAAGAATAGAAACTAGATTACTTTATACCGAACCATTGATTTTTTTAATTTTCTTTTTCAAATATATTCAGGCAAGTATTTTTTTTCTCCAGGCACTGAACTTTGCAGGCACTGAACTTTTGTTCTTCGCCTCAGAAGATGCCAGAAGTGATGCTCATTTATTGTTACCCAGTGGGCCCCTGTGAACCAAAGTTACGGAGGCGAGCAACATTACCCACACTACAAATGCCCATTCATACGGTGGGTCACATTCACACATCAGAAGACAACAGAGAGAGAGAGACATCCATGCCCAAAGCGGGATTCGAACCTGCAGCCATTGACTTAGCAGTCAGGCACGCTAACCACTCGGCCGGCATATTCAGGCAAGTGAATTTTATCCTTTAAAAATTGAGAACTCTTCTTTGTTTCATTTTTGCTTGTTTTCTGTCTTAACTAAAGCGAAGCATGTTAATGGAGCTGTTCTAACAGACTTTATTCTTTTTATTGTCACTGATAACTAGAAATTTTTTTCTCTCTTTTTTAACAGCCTTTTTATTAAGAAAGTATTTTTCAAAGAGCGCTTTTAATGAACATTATTCTTTTACGGTCATTTTTTCCTAAAACTAAGGAGATGCGAAAAAGTTAAATTAAGGTATGTAGCGTTACATCTTTAGTTCAAAAATTAAAATTGTTTTAGTTTCTGTCTTTTCTTTTCAAAAAATTTATGTTTTTATAGACATTTTCATTCTGACACGGAAATTAAAGAGGGTTTCTATTAGACTTTAATCTTTAATTTTTCTTGAAAATACAATAATTAGAAAACTGAAATGTTTAGCTTTAAAATTTTATTACAAAACTGAATATAATGAATGTAGAACTGAATATAAATCTTATTGAATTTTTTNCTCATTTATTGTTACCCAGTGGGCCCCTGTGAACCAAAGTCACGGAGGCGAGCAACATTACCCACACTACAAATACCCATTCATAGGGTGGGCCACATTCATACATCAGAAGACAACAGAGAGAGAGAAACATCCATGCCCAGAGCGGGATTCAAACCTGCAGCCATTGCCTTAGCAGTCAGGCACGCTAACCACTCGGCCGGCATATTCAGGAAAGTGAATTTTATCCTTTAAAAATTGAGAACTCTTCTTTGTTTAATTTTTGCTTGTTTTCCGTCTTAACTAAAGCGAAGCATGTTAATGGAGCGGTTCTAACAGACTTTATTCTTTTTATTGTCACTGATAACTAGAAATTTTTCTCTCTCTTTTTTAACAGCCTTTTTATTAAGAAAGTATTTTTCAAAGAGCGTTTTTAATGAACATTATTCTTTTATGGTCATTTAGGAGATGCGAAAAAGTTAAATTAAGGTATGTAGCGTTACATCTTTAGTTCAAAAATTAAAATTGTTTTTTAGTTTCTATCTTTTCTTTTCAAAAAACTTATGTTTTTATAGACATTTTTATTCTGACACAGAAATTAAAGAGGGTTTCTATTAGACTTTAATCTTTAATTTTTCTTGAAAATACAATAATTAGAAAACTGAAATGTTTAGCTTTAAAATTTTCTTTCAAAAATTAAGATAGCACTGCATTTTTAAAAGCATTTCTGATACATTCTCTCTTTTATTGTTTAACGGATAATTTTGTTCTGGGAAATATTTTTTGCATTAAAGTTGTTAGTCAGTTTTTTTTTTAATCTTAAATATTTCTAATTATCTTTACATCAAATTACTTTAAACATTTCTATTAAAGTTTTTGTTCCATTTACCCCACACCAATAATACAGTTAAGCTCTGATTAATTTTCAATAATGACAACTTATTTCTCCATAAAAAATAATTTTTCTTTTTTAAAAAAATAAAATGAACATGTCACTATTTTGCCAATGAATATGTAGTATTCGGCCAAATCACTATTCGTTACATCCCTAATTACTTTTAACTGAACTACGAGTTTTGCACTGTCTTTGAAAAATATATTCAGGCGAGTTAATTTTGTCGTTTCCCCCCATCACTTTTTGCTTTAAAAAATAGAATATAAACAACGTTTCTGATAGACTTTATTATTTTATTGTCACTTTTCCCTGTACTGTAACATAGAAAACTGTGATTTTTAACCTTAAGGTTATATTTTAAGGATAACTAAGAACAATTTTTTTTTGTTTCTCTTGTTTTTTTATTAACTTTTCTTTTTATCAGAATTTCTTAAAGAATGTTTCCAAGGAGTATTAATCGGGTGATAGCAGTAAACCTTTTAGAACTGAATATAAATCATATTGAATTTTTTTTCAACAAAAAATTTTAGTTTGTTAGTATGTTGGAAATTATAACACACCACAAAACATATTTACAATACAACTTGTAATATGATCATGTTCCAAAATATAAATTTAAGATATGGACTAGTAATGTCAGTGATTAATTTTCAACTGAATTTTTAATTTTAATACATTTATCAAAAGTTCAACTATATGAAAACAATTTATTATTATTTTTTTCCTTCTTTAATTTAAAATCAAACACTGACCTACTACTTATATTATGTTAGGTTTCCAGAACATAGAAACTTTGTAACCAGAGCTCATTCTAGGCAGGGTAACCAGGGCGCAGCACCCTGCTGCCCTTTTAGTCAAAAGAATCCAACCTGTTGCCCGTAAAGTAAATTAGTGTCCTGATGTAATAGATTCCATACCCTTTTTGCCCTTTCTTTCCTCAACCCTTCTTTATTTTCAACTCTTTTTATTTAGTTTGTCATTGCTGTCAATACATAGATTTATATGGGAAAGGAAAAATAGCCATCACACCCCCTTGTTGCACTTGTCTTTGAAAGTTTGCAGTTACTTCACTATCATTAAATCATAATTATAATTAATCATTTTAATTTTTAAATCATAACTACAGACACTTAAAAACATACATTTATTATTTTATTAATATATGCATGCATTTTAAATAAATTACTAAGCTAATTAGCTCATTAACTCGATATATATATGTTAATTTATTAATAAAAATTAGTAATTAATATGATTGCTTTGGTACTTTTAGTAAAGTAGAAAAAAAAAATTGACAATGTTTTTTAATAGAATGTGTAAAGCCCATAGAAAGAAATTATTGCCTTTTTTTTAAACTTTTGCAAACTGCCCTTTTTTCTGCCTAGAATGAGCTCTGGTTTTACTTACGTTTCCATAACTGCAGGCTACCTCAAACTTTTAATGGGGAAGTGATCTTAAGATAACTGGATAGTATTCTTATAGGTGCTTTTTCTTCNAAATCAGATCTAAACATGATACCTGATTTTTATTTACAATGTCACTTATAAATATAATTAAAAAATTATTTTAATTACATAAATAAATACTATATTAGTATACATATACACATACAGTAGGGAACCGATTATCCGGAACGATAGGGACCATCGCTATTCCGGATAACTGATTTTTACGGTTTTCTGAATTGCTACAAAAAGCCGTTTTTTTTAATTGTTAAACCTAATTAAAAAATATATTTGGAAATAATCTTAAAAAGAAGAAAAAATGATGAAGTAATACACTAATGATTATTTCCAAAATGATGGTAAGAAAGAAATAAAAATCCTAAAAGAAAGAAAAATCAAAAAAGAAAAATCAAAAAAGAAAGAAAAATCAAAAAAGAAAGAAAAATCCTAAAATCTTAGCAGGAAAAAAACATTTAAAAATAAAAAAAAAAATTGGCGGGAATATTTATCGAATTTCGTTCTGGTTTTTTGGTTTTCTGATTTCCGGATAACGGGTTCTGTACTGTACTAGTAAATACTACTTTTTTAATATATAAAATGATCCACTATTTGGCCCTCTCTTGTTTTTTTTTTGTTATTAAATTATAATTTTTCACAGCTATGTATAAAAAAACTGCATTTAACTTTTTCTTTATTTTTTTTTTTTGCATTTTGAAAAACCTGTATGACTATAAGAATTTTAAAACGACACTTCAAAGAGCTAAAATTGATTAAAACCCAATAATGCAATTTTGCCAATTGAAACCTAATAAATCCTAAATATTTAAAAAATTTCATAAAAAATTACATGTCATTAATGAACCAAGGATTTAAATAACTTATTAAATGCAAAAATATTACCTTCAAAAATTCCTCAGCCAAGCAGTTAAGTTCTTTCTGCTGCAGATGACATATTTCATCCCAATAAAGATGAAGGAGAGCAGCTCCACCATTTGGAAATACTTCAAGACGTATATATTTTCCATATTTTAAATGCTTTAAATCCATACCTTGGGGTAGTCTTGGTATTCTTTGAGATACACCATTTTTTTCCACAACTTTATCATGCCTGTCACGTTTACATTGTATACTCACATGACGAAAACTGGAGACTTTTTGCTTACACTTAGTACAAAGCTCCGTCTTAGAAGATGAACTTGAATCTAATTTAATTTTGACTTTAGAACTTTTTGTTAAATCACTCTTCAATTTAGATGAGTCAGTAGCTTTTAAGTTATCACTTTTCAATTTTGATGAATCAGTGATTTTTAAATCATCAGTTTTCAATTTTGATGAATCAGTGATTTTTAAATCTTCAGTTTTCAATTTCGATGAATCAGTGATTTTTAAATCATCAGTTTTCAATTTCGATGAATCGTTTATTTTTAAATCATCAGTTTTCAATTTTGATGAATCACTGATTTTTAAATCACCACTTTTCAATTTAGATGATTCAGGCGTCTTTAAATCGCCATTTTTTACTTTAGACGATTCAGTTGTTTTCGAAACATCATTTACAGATTCCTTTACTTTTGCTTTTTTGTGTTTTTCCGAACTTGAGTCATTTGGTTTCTTTTGCTTAATTACTTGATGTATATTATCTACATTCGAGTGCTTATGCTTTTTAATTTTATCTTTTGAATGGCTACTTTTATTTTTCTTATGATGTGACTCTGAAAGTGTTTTTGATTTATAATGGTCATCTTTGATTTTTAAAGTTGAACTTAGTTTGCGTGATTCGCAAGAATTGTGTCCCAAAGCATGAGTCTTAATCACATCTGAACTTTCATTCAGTTTTTTATTATTGGTAGAGCAGCTGATTTGTGGTTGAATTAGAGTATCTTCAGGGGTCACAGCAACAGCCGACTCTTCCGATATTTGTACAGAGACTGATGAGGAAGAACATAAATTACTTTCTGAGACTGATGAACAATTAACAGAAATAGAGTTTAAAATATTGCAACAGATTTCAGATTTGTTACCTGAAATATTAGAGTGATCTGCCTTCAATTCATCACATGATAAAGAAAGACAGGTATTTGAAAAAGCATTAACAGACTTTTCTCTATCTAAGAGTTTATGTGTATCACAAGAAGAATTATGTACAACACTTTTAGGTTCACCTGAAAGGCTAACATTTTCATTCACCGTGCTTTCTTTGGAAACAGTACCAGGAAAAATCTCACAAGAGCTCAGAGATTTAATACTATTGTTTTTTTCCTGATAACTAATACCAGCCTCTTTATGGATATCATCCAATGAACTGTTAAGTTCAGAAAGAGAAGTAATTTCACACACTTTGTCACAAGTAGAACTAATAAGATTGTTGATGATGTGATAATTATCATTTGACAAGGGTTCAATTTTAATTCTTTTTGCAACATTAGATGTATCAATAATATCTTCACCATTGCACTGAAGCATATCAATATTTTTTCTTTTCTTTGAATTTTCATTAAGAGACTGTTTGCTAGAAACCAACAGATTGTTAGAACCTTTGTCATTTGAAGGCTCAGCTTGGACAATTTTTTCAGCTAGAGTTTCTTTATCTGTCTTTTCATTCATTTCGACTGGCGTGATGGAACGTGAAGTGATGACTGTGTTGTGTTCAAACGAGGCACTTTTATTTAATAATGAATTTTTTATGGACTTTAAAGGTTGCTCTAGCTTATCTTTATTTAAGTAGGAATTGGATGATACTTTTGTAACAGAGTTATGGTTTTTATGCTTAAGTGAGGACTTATCTTTGTCAGATGTGCTTTTTGTTTTTGGACGATCCTTGTGCTTTTCTTTATGAGATGAATGATGCTCATGTTTATCTTTCTCTTTATGCTTTTTCTTTTTGGTGTGATGAACAGAAGAGTTTTCTCTCTTCTTCTCCGACTTTTTACTCAGCTTTTCATCAGAATTTTTACCCTTCATGCTGTTTTTCACTAAAAGAACAAAAATATAAATAAATGAAAAAAGGCATATAACTACTTTATTTTAAATTCAAAGCTAAGTTTACCAATAATAAATTAGGCTATACAAATATTTGGTTGCTGTTATTGCTTGTGACATATGCTCAAAAATATTTAATTAGATTGTATAGTTAAATTAAAAATAAAATTTGTGAAATTCAGCGGACGTTCGATATAATTACCCATGTGGCCCAAACGAAAAATAATGTTTTAATGTGAGGTCACTACAACGTGAGTATGTAAAATTATTGCAAATATTTGCATACATGGTATATATACTGAATTTATTTTGGCAAAAACGTAAAAAAATACATTAAAATTTATTTTCAAATCATATCTTTTTATATTGCACAGAAACGTTAGCCAGTCATTCAGTGCTTTTTCTAGATTTTTAAATTTTGCTTTACGAAAATGATGTCATGAAATTAGAGCACTTTGTTCTTCTGCCTTTAAAATCACATCACGCTTTTAAATTATTGCAAACTAAGTGCTCTTAGGTATCTTGGATAATTAAGCAATTAATTTGTAATATTCTCTTAACTACATCCATTAAATTTTAATTACCACTTATAGCAAATAGCATTACACTGACGAAGAGCAGCCATTATTGCTAAATAGCATACGCATTGAGAATGAGCAAAATTTGCGAACAATACCACTTGTTTTAACTCCAAAATAAATCACCTCTTACTTAACAGAAAGTGTGAATGCAATTATCAGACAAAAAAACTATGCTTGATGAATATATTATTATTCATATAGTGTTTGTTATAATGGAAGGGTCTCTTTAAAGAGCATAGACTGTATTCCTATCAAAGAAAACATTTTATTATATACCCGGTGGCAGAATCATGGAGACATTGTCCCAGAACATTACAGAGTTCTTGCAGAAAGATTTTTAATTTGGGAAGCAAAGAAATCAATGTTTTTTTTATCTGCAGAATTATATTAAAAAAATGTCTTTCTCACATATCGGAGGTGGAATAAATGCTTATGATTTTTTTTCCTACTTTCAATTGAAAATGAAAAAATTCTGCAATGACTGGCTTTAGCTAGAACTTCAGATTAATATAAAAAGTAAACAAAAAGTGCTTCTGTTACTTCAAAATAGTAACAATAAATATATTTGCTATCATTAAAAATATCTTTCAGAAAGGTATTAATACTAGATAGAATTGTCGCAGAAAGCTTGAAAAAATTCTGCCACATGGGTTACATATTATTAAAATAATAAAATTGATATAGAGGAAAAACATATGATATGACTTTAGTTTAATATATTTTAAATTAAAACCATTGTTGAAATTTAGTATTATATGTAGTATATATTTTATTAACAATATCAGGAAACCAAACAAAATTTAATTCCACATCTTCCCTGAAATAAGTATTAGTCCCTTAGCCAGAATTTTTGATTAGTGGGGCGACACACCATAAATAGGGATGGTAGATGGTTTAGATTTATTTACAAGTTTGATAAATTTGTTTATTAAATATTTGTATAATTTATTTACTACTACCAGGCAGGGTTGGGTTTTTGACGTCAAAAAGTGGTTTTTGACATGACAAGGGTATAATACTGGTTTAAACCGTCAAAAATGTCAAAAACTAAAGTTTGCCAAAAAAATATATAAACTTCAAAACTACCAACAGTTGCCATGCATTATATTGAAATTTAATTATACTATAGCAGGGTTGGCAGGTTTTTGACATGTGACAGTTTTTGACAGTTTAAACCGTCACGTCAAAAACCTCACTGTCAAAAATGTCGAAAATGTCAAAAACCTATATTCATATGTGAAATTTAATTAATACATAAAATTTATATATTTTTTATAAAGGATAGTGTTTCTAAATATGTTCTAGAAAAAATAAATTTAAAATTTTGAAGAAACACTTATATTTTGAATAGTAACCAAAATCTTGTACTTTTGAAAGCTCACATCTTTTGTAATATTATGTATTCATTTTCATGTGTTATTGAAAATCTG